AGCTTGATTTGATACACATGGTCGAATCATTTGTCTTTATAGTTTTTGTCATTTTCTTAATATGGGCATCAAATTTCAATTTTGAATCTAAAACTACACCCAGATACTTAAATTCACCAGCCGGCTTTATTTCATGTTGATTAATAATTATTTTGAGATCATTGTTTATAATTTTCTTAAGGGAAAAACACATTGAGTCCTTAGTCAGACCCGTTTTTGCTTCTGTATGTTAAATTGTATGTTATTGAATGGTAAGATGCGCATGCGTACTGATATCTTGTCTCGAGGCAAGACGTAAAAATACGACGAAAAAAACGTCAAAAACCTACGAAATACTGTGCATGACTTTTTGTACGATTTCATACGAACTGATAATGAGAATATGTTGTTCAAACATAAACCTCCCAAAGTAACATTAGTTACCCTAATAAATATGTCCCCTTATTAATGAAGTTAATTTTTTATTTCCTGCCTATTTGTTTTGCCATAAATCTAAAGGTGTTACACTCTATGCAGTGTCCGCTGCAAACACGGTGGATTTACATCGTATCTCTATGCGAACTATGCAGCGATAGCGGAGCGGTGAAAAATCTGAACTTTTCTTTGACATCCTGCTGCAGCAACCGATCAGCGGCTGGTTGTGGTTGAAGAAGTGCAGCTTCCACCTTCAGCAGATTTCAAACAGCTGATCAGCATGGAGCCCATGAAGGAGGCGTTGTTGTGTTTCCTCTCTAGTCAGACCCGTTTTTGCTTCTTCTATCTGAGCAGCCTTCAGCCTAAGCTAGCTGAGACACGCTGGCCTTCATCGGGGTGGGGGTGTAGGGCCGGGTTGCTGTGCTTCTCTCTTCTCCAGCCTCTGACAGCTGCTGTGCTAAGTATATAATGTGATGGCAAGGAGGCATTCCATCATCACAGACCTGCAGCCAATTACAGCAGAGTTTCACTGCTGTCAAAAAATTACGGGGGTTTTTCCACAGATTATTGAGAAGAGTATAAATAATTCTCCACTTGCTGTATTGTGATAACATACTCTCACCCAATGACAGCTGGAGATACAAACCAGACCCCTGCCACCAGAGTCCCACGAGCTTATTTTACTATAATATAGATAAAAACATCACTTTTTTTTAGCAGAAATAAAGAATTTAGTTAGATTAGAATAATTAAAGCTTAAAGGAACATAAACGGACGGTCGGATGAAATGAAACCTTGAAGCATCTCGGAAAAACGATCTAGAGATAAGTAAAATGTCCTAAATTAAGTGTATTTACCTTTAATCTGAGTAGGTAAATAAGAAAGTTTGCCAATGGAATGAGTATTTTTACTCTTGAAATAAGATAATTAGATAATATGCACTTGAAATAAGACAATGCAAAGTGTAATTTGTCTTGTTCCATTGGCAAAATGTCTCTTTTACCTCCTCAATCCAAGAAAAATTCACTTATTTTAAGAAAAAATGACTTATCTAGATTTCGGTGAATTCACTCTGAGTACACAGGAAAAAATCAAAATCTAGATTAGTCAATTTTTCTTAAATTAAGTGCATTTGTTCTTGAATTGAGGTAAGTGAGACACTTTGCCAATGGAACAAAACAATTTACATTTAAAATAAGAAAAAACAATTGCATTGTCTTATTTCAAGTGCATGTTATCTAATTATCTTATTTTAAGAGTAAACATTCTCATTCCATTGGCAGGTGATCTTATTTACCTTCTCAAATTAAGGGTAAATACACTTAATTTAAGACATTTTTACTTATTTCAAGATCGTTTTTGCAGTGAGACATCTTTTGCAGCCACTACTCTGAGGGTTTTTGCAATAAAAAAGAAAAAAATCCCGCCTTTATCTCCCCCACGCTTAGAGATAATGTTGTACTTGGAAATTCACGTTTCCTCCAAGAGATGAGGTGAATCCCTTTGTTTTTGCAGAGCTTTGGTCCCGCGAGGGGAAAGTCTGCTTGGCAGCCCGCCCCGTCCTGCTAATCATTAGCAGAGCCGTGGGGGCCTGCGAGTGGGAGAAGGATACACACAGCTGTCATATATGAAGGCACTCGCTCAAACAAAGCCACTTCTGATGAAGTTTCTTCTTTTTTTTTTACCCAACAAAGAAGACAAATAGACTGCAGAGATACTTGGGTCCAAAAGCTCCAATAAAACACAGACGAGGCTTTATTTCAAAAGCTCTTCTGTGTCTGAAGACTTTTTTTCCCTTTTTTTTTTTCAGTAAACAGGCAAAGGAACTCGTTTCAGCTTTGGATTGAGAAACCTTATGATTGGAAATGCTTTTTAGACAAAGAATAACAAATCAGATGTTTGGACTCCATTTCTTCTGATTTATCTGTTGAATAAAGGCTAATTAGCTCCAGATAACTTTAGGAACCAGGAGGCATTTCTTGCAAAATCTGATTTATTGGCCTCTGGTCCCTTTCAGGTATCATGTTTTTCAGCTAAAATAAATTCTGCTTTTCATTTTGGAGCCAAAGTTTCTGCTGGAATACCTGCACTAATGCAATGCTTTGTGATGTATATGCTTTATTCGATCCGTGTAAGAATATGCTGCACTGCAAAAGATAATCTCAAAATAAGTAAAAATATATGTAAATAAGTGTATATGGCCTTATTTTCAGCAGGTACAGTAGCAGCTGTCCAAATAGCCCTTCTCAGTCAAAAGCCAGCCGAATGGCAGCCAACTTCCTGCTAGTGAAGTGACCCCCTCCCTCTCCTGGGTGTGACTCCACCCTTCCACTGAATTACAGGCTCTGACCAGGAGATAAAGCTTCTCTTTAGATCTTAATGTCCACAAATCAGGACAGAAAGAATATTTTAGTTCAAAGATTGATGTTTAAAAGAAATTGTAGGGGACCTGCCAAGAGCCCATTTGGGGAAATTTTGAATGAGTGGGGAAAGTTTTTGTCCTTTAAGTTAAATAAGTTGAAATTATGCACTTAAAATAAGATAATGGTGTATTTTTTTATTTTTATTTTAAAGAGCCATTGTGTCATATTTACTTCCATATAGAGGTGCAATAAAATAATAAACAACAGACTTACTATGGAAGCTACGGAAGAGGATTA